GCTGTTTCTGTCGTCTTGGTGCAGGTTCGATGGCGTGTGGCGGCTCGTGGGTGCGTCCTCTCCAAATAAAGCTCGACCTTTTTTATTCCGGTGACCTTGGTCACGAGTGTAGCGGTTTGCTCTTGTTTGGCCGTGGCTTAGGTGGACTTAGCAAGCTGTTTTTGAGAATCCGATCTTTAAGAGTTGGTCACCGGGGAGGCCAAAATTACTGGGTCCAATCTCTCGTTTTAACTGTGGGTTCAATTCTGTGGCAAGCGAATGTTCGGCCTCTGTTGTTTCCTTCTTGATGCTGCTGTTACTCTTGTAGATAGGTCCTGTAATGTTTGGTCGGAGTCTCTGTTAGATTTATTTATGTTGCTCTGTTTCTTGTCTTCTTCGTATGCTGTAAAAAACTGAAAAATTGGTATTAATTTTAACATGTTTACCAAAAAAAAGATGCTGATGATGTAGCAAGATCTGAAAAAGATGAAAAGACTATGAACCTCATATTCATGAGTGTAGAAGATCAAGTCTTGAGAAGACTGTTAAGTCTGTTATGTTGTCTTTTATCATACTTAATTATAGGTTTGGCTTGATGAACTAGTACAAGATCTAAGAGTAATGAAAGCCTCATAACTCATGTGTTCTTGGACTATCTTTAGCGAGAATGTTATATGATTTAAATAGAGCTTGGCTCGGTAGCTTTAGTCAGTCAGAGATCTCGCCGGACCGTGGTTTTATGCTTCATCATTTTATTGGATCTAAGGCCGAATATCATCAGCTCTACGATTTTAGAATGTGTGATAGTCATACATATATTTTACATTTTTATAACTCTAATGTACTCAAAAATTGAAAATCGCATCAAATAACAAAGCTTTCTTTGTATGTCGACGTAACAAATTCAGTAAGCGGTAAATTACATTAAATCTTTATGTTTCCGCATTATTTTTTGCAGATTTTTTTTATTAATATCCGAATATACTACTCAAAACATACTACTCAAAACGGTTTAACCCTTATAAAATCGGTTAAAATCATCTAAGTTGGTTTAAATCAATCTAAATAGTGCAAATCTCTTAAATCAAATAATAATGTTAGTTTAAATCCAAAAATTTGTCTAATTCTTTTTTATATATCTATTTTTTATAATTTATCAAATAAGTTTATAATTAAACCTAAAATTAGAATATCTAATATAGATGTAAAATATATAAAATAAATAATAATTTTAACGATTAGACCCGTCTAGGTTCCTATTAATCGCAGAGTCATTAGTTTTTTACTAAGCACCTATTAACCACCTAATGGTTTTTTTTGGTACGTTGGTTGTAATAGAGAACTGTAGCAAAACAAGAGTACCATGAGTTGAGGAGTAGCACATCTATACTATTATTTAAGAAGTAAATTTGCTTAGTTGTCAACTTCTCCTTGATTTTAGATAAATTTATTTATTTACCTTATTTAAATAATTTCCTATAAAATTTATTATTTAATAAAAACGAATTTATATTAATATATCATATTTTTAGTAAATAAGATAATTCTTGTGAATTATGTTGTTATCTTGAAATATATTTTTATATATAAAACTTAAATTTTAAATTAAGATGTAAACACTATTATATTTATCTAAAACAAATTTATATTAATAATTTAATATTTAGATATAATTAAAACGAATTTATATTAAAAATTTAATATTTTTCTAAAATAAAATGATTATATTAAAAATTTAATATTTTTCTAAAATAAAATGATTATATTAAAAATTTAATATTTGTCTAAAATAAAATAATCATTATGGATTATGTTGTTATGTTGAAAATATATTTTCCTATTATAAAACTTAAAATTAAGATATAAAAATTATATTATTAATAATTAAATATATCATAATTAAATATAATCAAAACAATTATTTGAAAAGTTAATTTGTTGATTTGTCTCCATGATCCTAGGTAATTCTGATCATTTGTTAGAACTGCTATAATTTTGTTTATTATTGATTATATAATTAAAACTAATTTATATTAATAATATGATATTTTTAAAAATAAATTATTTCTTATGTATTATGATGTTATCTTGAAAAAAATATTTTTCTATTATAAATTTAAAATTAACATGTAAAAAATCTATAATATTATTTAAGAAGTGAATTCGATGTTTGGTGATTTTGTCATATTTTTCATGATTTAAGGTATTTTTGATAATTTATCAATTTATATAATTTTATATATAATTTATTATATATTTAAAACAAATTTATATTAATAGTATCAGATTCTTAGAAAATAAAATACTTCTTATGTATTAAGTTGTTGTTTTGAAAATATATTTTTCTATTAGAAATTTAAAATTAAGATATAAAAAGTTGTAGTTATTCTATAATTGAAATAAATTTACACTAATAATATTATACTTTTAGAGAATATGGTAATTATTATGTATTATGTTGTTATCCTGAAAATATATTTTTATATTATATAATTTAAAAGTAAAATAGAAAAATTATCTATTATTAATTAAATATAAATTCCCACTCAAGAAAAATTATTTTAGAAGTGAACTTTCTGATTAATTAACTTCTCAATGATTTTAGGTAATTTTAATTATATATCATAATTTCTATAATCTTATATAATTATTATATAGTTAAAAAATTATCATATTATTTTATCAGAAAATAAATAACTTATGCATTATATTGTTATCTTGAAAATATGCTTTTCTAATATAAAATTTAAAATTAAGATATATAAATTATAATTAAATATAAATCAAGAAAAATAGTTATGAAATATACTCTTTTAAATTATTTTGATGTTTGAACTTTGTCATTGATAAATATTTGATGTTTGATTTTTCTTTTTGAAAACATAAATAATAACATACTATGCTAATTTTTAAACTAATGAAACATCAACTAATAAATATTCATAAAAGAATTATGCCCGCAAATGCGGGCAAAACACCTAGTATATAATAAGTATCAAAAGCATATAGCTTTTATACTAACTTGCAAACTATATGGACATATATAATACTTTTTATTAGGTTTTTTGCTATCTTTGATTATATATGTTGGATATATATTTATTTTGCTTTATTTTAAAATATTTACTTTATTTTTCATTAAAACTTTCTTATTATTTATGTATCAGTAGTAATTGATTAAATTAGTCTACATAATTAATTAAAGGGGGTCTAAGGACATCTCCCACCCTACTTTGTTTTTTACTTTAAAGTACATTTTGGAATAAAATCTTCGCAACCCCACTCTATATTCAACTCCAAAATAAAATACTTCATCTGTTTCACTTTATTTGTCATTCTAGGTTTTTACGCACAGACTAAGTAAACATTTAATTTTACATATTTTCAAGATAAAAACACAATTACCTAGAAACCTAACCACTTTTCAACCAATAGAAAAATATAATATCATATAAAGTTAATAAATTGTGTCTCGAAACTCTAAAATGACACTTATTTTAAAACAATTGTTTTTCTAAAATGACAATTAATTCGAAACGGAGGGAGTAATGGCTAAAGTATCTTCATTTATGGAGTAATCTTACCCAATACTCCATTTTGGAGTTGAACTCTTTTTGTTTATGAAATGATTCTTTTAGTCTAGAATATTTTTATTTCATATATAATAATATTTAAAATGATATAATAAGATGAAAATAAATATGATGTTTCAAAAATATTATTTAATAATTTTACGTAAAGATGCATAAACTAATAAAAATCAAAACTAAACAGAAATAAAATAAGATAAATATAATATAAAAGTAATTTAATAATCCGGTAAATTCCTTGGGTAACTACCAAAATCAGTGAAATATTGTTCAAACGGAAAAGATGAGTTCTTCTATATGTTTTTTAATGCATAATTTTGTTATTGAATTAGGAAAATTTCAATAACAAAAATTGCAGCAATTGAAGTTGGAAAAGAAGCTCCACCCGTAGATATTGAAATTACATAAGATGAAGATGCCTGATTTCATAATATTCTTGTTAGATTTAAGAAAATCAAGGATGAAGAATTTCATTGTTCATTACGAAATGCATTAGTTGATCATTTGTCATAAGTTATTCTAAAGTTCCTTCATAAAAACAAAATATTGTATGTTATACATTTTATGATTTATTGTAATTTTTAAGGAAAAATGTTTAATTTAAATAAAATATATTTTTCTGGAAGTTGTGTAAAATAATATAATTTTCTAGTCCCAAATTGAGTTTTTAGTTCGATTAATATATCGATAAATTGATATCTCTCTAAATTAATAAAAAATAAATTCTGGTGTAGTCCCAACATTATTAATTTATAGAGGTTTCACTGTATTAATTAACAATTATTAACTAAATAAAAAGAAATTATTTGGAAATATTTCTTTTTGGAGTAAAAAATGAAATAATACGTTGGACTAAAAGACAACTTCATTTTAGAATTACACTATTTTCGAATAAAAATGGAATAATACATTAGAGATGTTCTAAAATGGTATAAAGCATTTATTAATGCCCAAATAAATGAATTTTATGCTTGTAGTATCCAATGCTTTAATGTCGAAAAACAAGTATCCATTGCTTTTGTTGTAAAAAGTATCCAATGCTCTTGTTGTAAAAAGGTATCCAATGCTTTTGTTCCCATGCATTGTTTAGAGATATCTTCTGGCCTAAGAAATGACAACGATTTTTTAGAAAATGTAAAATACTATTCGTTTATAAAGTTATTTGTACATAATATATGTATTTTATAACATTTTAAAACTTACAAAAATAAAACAAAAGTAAGAGGATGATAGTGCATTAAAGAACAACAAAAACAAAATACAGTATCGTCAATTCAGCATCTTTTTCTTGTATAATGTTACTGCCAGCCATTATTCGGTTACCATCTGAGTCCTGTCCCACCTTCTGTGCTTTATACTAACGTTGTAACAACTACTAACACCTTAAAGAGACTTTATCACACACATCACAACTTTATAAACAGATGAATCCACCCACTCATTCCACAAACCAATCAAGAAAACGAAAAAGATGAAGTTTTCATCTCATATCAAAATGATCATGGAGTATTTCGATACCCCAACAAAAGTCATTTTCCTGGTAATAGCACTGGTCATAGTCTTCTTCTGGATGAGGTCAGGCCCGACGATGAAGGCTCCGGGAGGAAATGGTCGTCGTATTTCGAGGGACTCATTTCAGAAGAACCCGAAAGGCTACTTCAGGGATCTGCGCAAGAAGTAGGTATAAGAGTAGTATGGTGGAAGAACTAATAATAACGACTTTGTATACTATGCATTAAATACCATAAGATACGTATGTACCATGTCGTCGATCTGTATGAAAACTTACTGTTTGATTCTCCTTTTGACATGGGCTAATGAAAAAGGGGTAAAAAATTTTTTTAGAGGGGTACAATTTTGTAAATACTTGAATCCTGTCTGATAAGATAAGCAATTTTTTTAGGCCCCAACTTCAGATCTGAGGGAATAGTACGAATAATCTTGTGTGATCATAATTTTGAGTGTGTAAGCTAATCCAACTTCTGTAGGATAGGGCTGATTGATCATGAATTTTGATATTGTTGTTTTAGTTCATAATATTTTCCGTTCGGTTCACTTGTATAGTTGTATATAGACTGTTGTCTTTAAACATGTTTCATAATAGGCTCAGCTTGATAAACTAGTACAAGATCCTAAGAGTAATGAAATCCTGATAAGTCATGTGTTATAGGGCTATTTCTGGGAGAATGTTAGAGCACCCGCATTGCTGCAAGCCTGCAATTCTTATGAGAGTTTCTCAAAGATAAAAAAAAGGGGGATTATTGACAAGTGAAGTCTTGTGAACTTTGGAAATTTGGAGATTCCACTGTTATTATTTCATGGATTTAAAATTTTTTAATAGAATCACTAGATCATGATCCGTGACGTGCGCAGATTTTATTTTTTCTGAAAAAAAACTATATATGTGTTCTCTATAGTTTAATTTTATATAGTTTTGAATTTGTCCATTATTTTATGATCAAAAGGTGGAAAGGAAGTAATGATAAAGTCAATCCTGCTAGCTCTCCCAATCTATGTTATGTCATGTTTTCTTCTCCCATTGGAGATATGTGATGCCTTGGCTAGTGCCATTGCACAGTTTTGGTGGAGCTCAAACTCACCAAAAAAAGACTTACACTGGTCAACATGGGATAAGTTATGTTTATCTAAAGAGGAAGGGGGAATTGGCTTCAGGATGATCCATGAGTTTAATCTGGCGTTGCTAGCCAAACAGTTGTGGAGATTGGCTCAAAACCCAGATTCCATAGTAGCTCGAGTTATGAGAGGCCGGTATTATCGTTTAAGTTCGCCTTTGCGAAAGATAATTGTCAGTAGCCCATCGTATGTGTGGACAAGCATCTCGGCCGCTTGGGAACTTTTGCTCCTAGGGTTAGACAGAAGATACATTCAGGCTATGAAGTGAAAGTATGGGAGGATCCTTGGATTCCCACAATTCCAGCAAGGCCAGCGAATGCATCTGCTCCTGTGCTGCATCCGAACATGAGGGTGAGTGATCTTATCAACCAAGAAACAAAGTCTTGGGATCTGGATCGGCTGGCTGATTATGTTGACGCTGCTGACATACCTCTCATAAGGAGTATGGCTATCAGTTCAACACACCGCAAAGACACGCTTTGTTGGAGTTACACAAGGAGTGGACAGTACACATTCAAGTCAGGCTATTGGGTCGCTCGAAATATATTAATGAAAGAGGAGGATAATATAGTGGGGGAACCTAGAATTACAAGACTTCAAGCACACGCCTGGAATGTTAAAGCACCACCGAAGATGTGCCATCTTATGTGGCAGATTATAACAGGTCATGTGGCTGTTACGAGTGCTTTGAATCATAGACATATAAGGTGTGATAACTTTTGCCCACGATGTGGAGAACCAGAAGAAACAATTGCATATGCAATTTTCCAGTGCCCACCAGCACTACAGGTGTGGGCCTTAGCATCTATACCCACCAGCTCAACTTTATTCCCTTTACAGAGCATATATGGAAATATGGATTATCTATTTTGGAGGAAGAATGCCATAAGTGAGCCAGAATTAGGTAGGGATCCTTATCCTTGGTTAATATGGTACATCTGGAAGGCTCGGAAGGATAAGCTGTTCAGAGGAATTGATAGAGACCCTCTGGAACTAGCCCGGTATGCGGAGAGTGAATGCCTTGCCTGGTTCCAAGCCAATGAGCAGGAAATTGTGACATCACAAGGGATCATAGACCCTGAAGGTCAAGCCATAAGCCTACGAGATATTTGCATGATAGACGGTTCTTGGACCTCTACAGATCATTTCTCAGGGTGTGGCTGGGATTGGAAGGACAGCATGGGAAATAGTCAGTTGATGGGTTTGCACAATGTTAACAGGGTGGAGTCGGCTTTGCATTCTGAGCTGGAAGCACTACGGTGGGCAATGGAGAATATGCTTCAACATTCGCCATGTCAGAGCTTTGGGACAGATTCCAAGGAATTGATAGCGATGCTCACAAATCCCCATGGATGGCCAAGCTTTTCGACGGAACTGGAGAGGCTCTTGACGCTGAAAATCTGTTTCCCAGATTTTAAGATTGTTTATGTACCCAGGGCTCAAAATGTTGTGTCTGATCATTTAGCTAAGACTGCTCGGTCCTTTTATCGTGAACTGATGTATGTTGGTTGTTCTATTCCGGTTTGGATCCCCAGTCCACCTCAAGCTTGAGTAATAGATCAGCCTATCGTTGTCAAAAAAAAAAAAAAAAACTATATTTTGTATTAATAGTTTTCAATAAGTGTATTATAGATATATGTGTAGTGAATATAGTAACTTGATTATATGAATCCAAACCCGCAAAGATTTGAAATGAACCCGAATCAAAATTTATAAATATTTGAATGAAGATAAAAATTTTAACCTCAGAAACTTGGAATCTAAATAGACTCGTACTATGGCTCCTGAATGTCCGCCCAAAGTTTAGAGTTTGTCGTACAGTGAATATGGAAAATGAAAGTGTAGAGTTGGTCAATTTTATAGTATTGAATTTATAGTATTGAAATAACACTGATTAATAGTATTGAAATATCAATAAAAATATTAATAGATGTAAGCTAACAAATTGTCTGCAAACAGTTGAAATAAATGAAAAATATATAATGTATTTTGTTTTATAATAGACGTATACAACATACTTATAGATTAATATATTGGTTAACTGATATAATGGATACAGAGAAATATTCAAATTGGAAATATTAGATAAAATTTGAAAGAAAATAATTATGGTTGTTAGTGAAACATTATTTAAGGAAATGTTTTCTTAAAAATTGAGTTAAGAATTAAAATTACCTAAATAATTTGAGGTCCAACTTTAAATTTCACCTAGAAGAAGTTATAATGTTTCTATTCTAATAATATAGATTGTTATTAGTTTAAGATGTTTTTTCAAAATCCATTAAAATCACCTATTGTTCAAAAAGTTTAGTTATTATTGATTTTCTTGTACTAACTAAAGTTAGTGTTATTGGGTGTTGAATTTTGAAAATCCACATAACTTTAGAAATCTAACAACGTTTTAAAATCCATAAACTATAAGTGAATTCATCTTCGAATAACCTTCCAAAATTAATTAAAAACTAGAGTTCGACCCGCACTAAAGTGTGGGAATTTTCATATTATAAATGTATAATTTTGATAATACACTATATTTTAAATATATGATTTAGTGTTACATATTTGCAAGTTTATATTTTTATTGTTTAGGTTTCTTATTTGAAATTATTTATTTATAAGGATTGACTTGTATATAATTTACGAATTTTAATGTTTTAGTGGAAAATTACATTTTTATTTATTTATGTGAATGTAAAAATTTTAAAATATAAAATTGAATAATCTATCAATTTAATGAAATTATTTAATATTTAATTGATATAATGTTTCTGTTTTAAAATATTATTGACTATAACTATAAAGAGTAAACTTTATTTGTGCTCTAAATTTAAATTTAATTAACATAAATTTATAATAATATTATATTGATAATCATGAAATTAATTAATGAATATATAAAAACCTATTTAAACTATATAATATTTTGTTAGATTTTCTCAACAGATTTTATTATAACTAATATATATATATATATATATATATTTAATTTATTCTTAATAACTTCCTAAATTGTTAAGATTGTGTAAAAATGTTTTATATTTGATTGGTTAATGTAAGTAAATAAACAAATCATATTAAGTAGATAATGTAATGGTCCTACTATGACATTTTTATAGTAGATAAAAATAGTAACTCTATTTTAATAGAGTAGATGAAATAGTAGAAAAAGACTGGACAATTTACCAGATATGTTTCTTTATGAATCAACTCTAACCAACAGTAAATATACTCTTAACTAACGTATCAATTTAACATTGAACAAGTTATATTTTTAAAATTATTTTTAATTAATAAGTAAATAATTTTAAGAAATTAGTATAATAATCATAGGAAACTCTTTTGATAGTTGTCCACTAATGATGTTCTTATATGCCTTAAATCTAGCATGACTCAGTAGCTTATTCACACATGGACTTTGGAAATTTTGAGATTCATTATTATTGGTTCATGAATTTCAAAAATTTTAATCAATCCAATGTCATTAGTTTAAAATTTTTCAAAATCCAATAAAATCTTATTATTATTATTTTTAGTTATTATTGATTATCTAATCCTAACTAAATCTACTGTTATTGTGAGTTGAATTCTATTCATTTTTACTCATAAGAAACAATTTTTAAAATATCATATCTATCCTTGAGATTTTCAAAATCCGTATGATAAAAAAATAAAAAACAAAGAAATTAGTCTAACCAAATATCGATTCCACCTTCTATCCAAATTATATGTCCAAACTGTATTCATTACATCTCATATACCTTTATTTGTATTGTTTTATCATTAAATAAAATTTATGAATTACTAAACAAACATAATATGGTTAAAGTTTTTAATATAATATTCATCTTACCATATTAACATAATTTTATATGTATCATTAATATTTTCTTTTAACAAATAAAAGGTTTTACAAACAAAAAAATAATAATTGTTCTAATTGATTTAGAAAAATATAAATGATATATTTACTTTACAAAAACAATGATACAAAAGAGTAATAAAAATTCATGAAATCTTTACCAATCTAAAAAACCGATGATCAAATTTTATAAGCCAATGAACATATATTTTCACAATCCACATATTATTATCTATAAAATTTTAAAATCCAAAAACTCTACACAAATTAGTAAGTTATAATTTTAATAATTTTTTGAATATTTATATTAGATCTTTTAAAGGGATATTTTTCGTTTAAATATGTATATATATTAATGTTTTAAATTGTATATTCAAGTTTTTATGAAATAAATTATGATATTGTTAATGAATTAAA